GCCGCTATGTGGCGGTGGGACGCTGATCGGATCGGTTACGCAGTGTTTTCTGGGTCGGAAAGACCTTGGCATCCAGGGCCCTTTTGCCAGTCCAGTGGGCAAACCTGGCAATTTTCCCAAAAACCATGCGAGTGAGTTGAAGCGTACGACCTGCGACTCGGTTTTCTTCAGCTGCACAAAGTACTCACGCATCTTATTTGGTGGTTTGGGTTGTCAAGGATTGGTGTGCAGAATCCCACTGAGAGGCTTCCCCAAGAAGTTCCATTCATGCTGCATGTCCTCTGCCTAGATGCTTTTTCTCACACGCTACGGAGTGCAGAAGCCAGGAAGATCACCCAGAACTGCCAATGACCCATTTGACACTCCCAGGGCCAAGTTGTCCACTTCCGGTTCCAGGGAACGTACCTGGTGCACACACCGCCTGGTCGTCATGATCCGCACGCGCACGGACACCGCACGAACTGTACGGCTCCTGCACCCGGAACGGGGACGCCGCCGGTGCGCCGGACGCCACGCGGAGGCCTGGCGCCCGCGCGAGAGACGTGCCACGCGGGTCCGCGCGCGGACGCTGAAAAGGCCTAAGGAAGGTCTGAGGAGGTGAGGTGGTTTTGAGTCTAACTCTAGCTAAATGTGAAAGAAAATGAAAACAAGATCTCTATCTGGAATAGTCTTTATACTTTCAGGGAATACCAAATCCATCAACCAGTCTCTTCAGTTCGTGACCGAACTTTGGGGACTCCCATCCGACCCCACTTCCTGGCCTGTTGGTGACCCCAGTTCCCCAAAGGATCAAGTTCGGTCACTTGGAAGAACCAGGCAGGTGTGGGGTGGATGATGTTGCTCTGCCGGATGTTCCAACGAATTCTCCCCAAACGCTCAGACACTCATTTATTTCAGCATTCCCGCCGTCAAACTGGTGGGGGTGGTGTGAACATCTAAGATCTACAAACCTTCCCCCCGGCTCTCCAAGTCTTGTTGGATCCAAATCAGGCAGCCCCTCATGTTGTCAAACAAAAAAGAATCTCACTACTCCCCCCATGTCCCTTCTCCCCCCACCTCTTTCCCATTGACCGATCACACGGTCACACGGTCCCACCCGAGGCCGATCTCCGCGCCGAGATCGCCTTCCGGCGGCGCAGGAAGTCCACCTCCGGTGGAGGTCCACGTGGTCTCCCCACGTGCCGCGCTGCTCGCGGACGTCGACGTCGACGTCGCCGACGCGGTCGCCGCGGTCGTGGACGCGGAGGTCGACGTCCCCGCAGAGGAACGCATGGGCGTGGGCGCGGCACCTGCCCGGTGTCGTTGGGGAGCCCTAGCAGTGGCTGGTGGCTCTGGTGGCTCTGCCCTGAAAGGAGCCAGGATGGTCCTAATGTGCCACAAAGGGAGGTGGGGGGTATCTTAGAGATAGTGCTTTCATCTTGAGTATATTATACAACTCTTATGTTCTCGAAAAGGGAATGCACGAACCCATAGGGTTGCTAGCCTGTTTTCACACTTCAACCACGGCCTGATCAAAAAAAGAAACTGTGGCCGACGATTGTGTGTCTGGTGTTTTGTTGGGAAGGTCAAGTGTCCACCTCGCAACCCAAAACAACACACCGAAAAATTGTCATGCAGGTATGCTAGTTCGGATTCTTTATAAGGAAAAAAGGAAAAGCACCAAAACCACTTGCAGTTGGGGGAAATATCAAGTTCGAAGCAGTTGTTCCAAGTTCCAGGTGGGATGCTCAGGATGAAAGTTTCAGTCAGGTTGGAGCCTTGACATTCAGCAACCAGCCAGCCAATCATCCAACGGGGAGGGTATACTTTGGACTAAAAATGAGACTTAGCATCTTTCAACTACCTAGACTCCCCATGGGATAGTGTTGAGCCGAAGGGGTGGTAAATGGACTCCCGTCACCACCAATTGGCACCCGGAAGCAGGTGTCGTGATGTGATGATGTATCCACCATTCCACAAATGTTGCTGGAACATGAGCCTCTTAGACTCTTGCTTCTGCCAAAATAAGAAGGGTGATCATGTATCCAGAGCTGGAAAAGAAATGCTCAAACATGCGTACACAAATCATCCAAGAGCTGCGCTAAAGCGGGGAAAACGTGTCCAGTGGACGAGGACAGAGCCAAAGCATGAATGCCAAAATGGCTCTAACTCCTTTACTACTCACCCAACTCATTGATCCTTCCTCAAAAAAAAGAGAGAGAGAGAGAGACAGAGAGAGAACAAAAAGGAACACACTGAACACACACACACACACACCAACACACACCGGCAGCACGAAATGCTCCAAAACACTCACTTGGCGGAATTCGATGCACGGATGGCAGCACGAAATGCCCCCAACATCCGTCCGCTCGGACGGCTAAGGACCGCTCGCGATCCCGGACCGACGCCTGCAGCGTCCGCGTCGGGCCGGTTTGGCGAGACCTGCCGAACGGCCGCCCTTCGGCCGCCGTGGCAGTCGGTGTGTCCGGAGAGAAAGCCAAGAGGATTGAAGTGCAGAACTCGTTCATGAAGGAGTAGGCTTCCTGGCCCTTCACATGGATGTTTTACCGAGGAACCAGCTGTTGTACCAGGTCAACCTTTCTATTTAGTGGTCTTGAAAGGCTAGGGATGATGGATGTAGCAAGGTGAGAAACAGGTGCATCATTCGCAGGCCTGGAGAGCCTTGAGAGCCTTGTTCTCAAATCTCAGAAATTCCGCATGCCAAATCCAATCATCAGCCATCCAAGCAAAATCTTGACCCCCAAAGTACTCCCAGAAGTCTAAGTCCCTTGGCCACCCGAAGTCACCCGCTGACCGCAGGTCCATGCCTGGCTTTCTGGGGGTGACTGGCGGTTGCCCAAAGCTTCGAGGTGTTGCACCACAAACGAAGGCATCGCAGGCATCAGCCAATCCACGCGGAGGTTGAGCTCAGAGTGCCTCTTCCTAAGCTCGCCGAAGCCGTTCGCGGGGCGCAGTGGGGCCCCATGTTTCAAGAGGTCCACAGCCAGCAGTCCATGGTTTCGATAGTCCAAAAGAAGGGACTCGCCCAGGAGATAGTCGTTCCTCCGAACTCTCGAAGTACCACCGGGATGAGGAGCTGTCTGTGTGTGCTTTCTTTAGTTGGATCGGACTGAGACATCCTTCCAAACGAAAAGAAAAAAACATCCAAAATTTTCCAGCTCGTGTGGTAAGGTCTGTCTTACTTTTCTGTGGTAGTACCTTTCTCCTTCTTGGCCTCGAAACCAAAAACTGAACAGAACCAGATAGGCCACCGGTGGTTGGTCTAGAAGCGAAGCACGACCTGGACATCTCTGGACGATCTGTGTGCGTGTTATCCATGATAAATGGTAGGAACACCCTCCCTCCAAAAAGTTTGACAGCTCGAGTGCTGAAAAAAAAAGGAAAAAGATTTCAGTCACCCACCTTCGGTGAGTTCCACCCGGGGCTTCAGAGAGCTTGAAATCCTTTCACCCACCGAGCTTCGGAGAGGCTTGAGAGGCTGAGGGACTGGGCCCTGGTAGATTGAGAATGATTGAAAGGGCCTCCAAACTGGCTATCCCAAGGCCACCTGGCACCGGACCTGAGAAGATGATTGGAAACTCTTGTAGGCCGTCTTGGAGGCTCCAGTCGTACCTTCTAAGAGAAAGGTGGCAGTGGAGGCCCTTGGGGTGTGAGTCCAAACCTGGAACACTGGAACACGCCCGCAACATGAACCCAAGAAAACCACCGGGCCTCCTCGACCTCCTGGGTGCCGGGCCCTCCTTCTCTCGCCTGTGTCCCGCGACGACGCGTGTCGCTCTCTCAGGCCGTGTCTCAAGCCCAACTGAAGCAGTGTCAAACCCACCGCCGCCGCCGCCAACAGCAAGCAGAGCCTTCCTCCCCGCGCTTCGCAGCGCACCATGGGTCACCGCCGGTCCGCGCCGTCCGCACCCGTCCGTGCCGCGCCATGGACCCGGTCCAAACGGAAGCCGGTGGCGATCTTTGGGAGGTCTGGAGGGGTGGGGATGTTCGGTTTTTGGGTAGCGTGAAAGGTGGGATGTTTGGTCTGACAGATGGAACAGACATGACAAAGCCAGGGCTTTTCCACTACTTAGGACACCTGCTTGACATGAAAGCCGGCTCAAACCCAGTGTCACAGGCTTCGAGTGTTTCGCAGCTGGATTTCCAAAAATCACCACATAGGCTCACTATCTATATGATTCTATATGAATCTATGAAGCTGCTTGACATGAAAGCCGGCCCAAACCCAGTGTCACAGGCTTCGATTGTTTCGCAGCTGGATTTCCAAAAATCAGCACATAGGCTCACTATCTATATGATTCTATATGAATCTATGAAGCTGAATGACCTCTGCAAATGCCAAAAGATTGGCTTTTCCCATCAAAACCGAGGTCATGTCTGGGTTCCAGATACTGCTTCTAGTAGCAATGTTGGGTACATATGGCTGGGCTTCCATGTTTGAGCCAATCAGGCGACGGGTACCTCTGTGCATGTTCCTCGTAAACCTGGCTTTTCCGAAATCCAATTGGACTGACCAGCACGGGACATCATGATCGAAACTACCTGCTCCTGGTGAGGAACCATGTAGGTTTGGGGAGACAAGCTCCAAACTATAGCTTTTGTACAGTATTCATCAAATCCTATGATGAACATACGGTTTAAGATTATCCCTAGGGCTCCAACGATATCCCCAGGTAAGGTGCCTGGGGTGGGTGGATTTGGGGGGCCTAACCACCGAACCTGAGGATATGGGGCCAGGAGCCCTAAGGATGAAAGATAGCACAAGTGTCCGGAACTTCAAGGGATTCGAGCTCCCAAAAACCTTGGAGTTCGGCATGTCAAAGAGTGGGACAACTGGAAAAACTGTGTCGACTTGATTGCATGTGAAGAAGGCCCCCTCGCGTGTTCAAGAGCGGCAAGTGCATGGCCTGGACATGATTCTGTGAAAATGGCCTGTTCTCCGTTTCGCGATCGCGGTTCCCGACCACCCGACCACCCGACCAGCCGGTCCGGTGCGCCTGTCCAAGGTGCCGGTGCCACCCTGGGATGGTCTGGGGACTCGTTCCGGCTCAGCCCAGCTCCGAGTGTTATGAGGAAGGGACAAAAGCCGTCACCAGGAGCTTCCCACCCTGGTTTTCAGATCTTGGCGGGGGCGGGGGAAGCCTTTTCAGTCAGTTCGGTGAGACTTAGCGACCTTCACCATGGGAGAGAACCAGCGACCTTTCACCACGAGGGCACGACCGTTGCCACGTCGACCAGGTGGCCCCAACCACGAGAACAGGGGCCAGTTTCTGTTAGTGACCGGTCACCTATACGTGACCGGTCACCGGGGAATGTCCTGGTTGGATTCAGAAGGCTCCTTTCGGTTCTTTCTTTAGATCTATTGATGCATGTCCCGGGACTGTGATCAAGAGAATTGATGTCAAGATCAAGAGGTTTCAAGAAGATTCCGTCCAGACCAGGCATTCTCTCGCATATTGTCTGGGCATTTATACAGACATCTGCATGGATTTGACTCAACTGTGGACTCCGTGGCCTGGCGATGGGTTGACTCAGCAGCTCAGGCAGTCGACTGGTGAAGTCTCTTCTATCCACCTGCATGATTTGTTTAAGGAAAGACATCCTCAAATCCAATTTGTGGGGGTGCAGTCTCAGTCTTCCCAAGTGATGGTATATCCCAGGACCTTCCAAGTCAGGTGGTTTTGGGACACCCCGAATCTCCTCCAAGAGGCTACTTACAAAGACCTCGTCTAGGTGTCGGTGCTGGTCAAATGTTCATTGAGTTGGGTATGAATCATTGGAGTTCTTGAACCCCTTCATTTTGACCGATCGGTTCTTGACAGATCGTCCGACGATTGTGTCCTCTTTCAACGACTTGGCCTGGCCTTTTAAAGACCCGCAATGACCCACAGGATTATTTACTGGAGGTTGATCACACAACACCACACTCAATAAGGAGGCAAAAGATCAGGTTTTACTGGGTGTTTGGACCTGTGGGGGGAAGGAGAAATCCTCTCTTTTGATGCTGTGCTTGGTGCCGTACCATCTTCAGCTGCCGATTCGGCCGATTCGACTCTCGATTCAATCTTCTGTTCTCCCAACACCTTGAAAACACCCGGTTCTTCTGTTCGCGCGCGGACGGGACGAGTTCGTGCCCAGACGTTCCGTTTCCCCCCTTTCTCAGTCCCTCCCGGGTCCCCCGAAGACCCAACGAGTTCGGTCCAGCCGCCCGGGTCGGTCGCATCTGGGTGAGACGCTCTCTCTGCACTTCGCTCACTTCGCTCGCTGTCGCTATGCAGGTCCCCTTTCAGGTCCCCGAAAAAAAACCATTCCTTTTCTCCTTGACACCTAGGGTCTCTCATCCAAGACCGTTGGCTGGGCATCCCAAAGGATGATTCATGTGTTGCGGGAAGCGGGAGACTTTGAGTGAAGGAACGGATGTTGATTTGTTGGACGGTGACGCTCTTCAGCACCGCCCTTTTTGAACGTTTGACCCCCAAAAAACTGATAAAGTCTTCGGTAGTAGAAACATCAACGGCGCCGAAGAAGGCATCGATGACGAACACAAAAACTAGTGTCTGAGGCCGTGAACAACTAAACCCCCAGAACCCTCCCTGTGATCGTTTGTTGGGGGGAACCTTCGCCACCAATTCCGGCCTTTTTGCCGTGGAGGATCCCCCCAAAAAAGACCACTCTCCCTAACAGGCGACCCAAGCAACCCAGCAAAGCCGAGTAATCAAGAAACCCTCACAAGTAAACCTGTTTGGACCAAAACCCTCCAAATGCCTCTCTCCAAAACGGCCAAAAGCGATCACCTCCTCTCCTCTCCTCCCTCACCTTGTCAAAGCGATCGAAGATGGCACGGATCCTGCGCTGACGCTCGCTGCGTGTGTACCAAAGGAGAGAGGACCTCCCCCCCCACGACCTCCCAAGGGATCAATAACAATAGGGCCTATAGGGGTGTCCCTGAATTTCCATGCCCTGAATGGAGAGGCTCCCAGATCTCCCATGGAACCGCCACAGCCCCTTTGGTCGCGCCCGGTTGTGGGCACCGCCCCACCATCCCAATCCACGCCCCACCTCCACGCCCCACCTCCCGCCCCCTCCCGCCCCATCCGCACCCCGCCTGTCGGCGAGACACTCGGCGTCCACCTCCACGGGGCGCTCCGAGGACTCTCTCGTGAGGTCCGGCCCTCGGCGCCACGGGGTGCCGAGGCGCCGGCGCGGGCCCCGGGGGACCCGACGGCGGGCGAACCGGTCCGGAGGCGGCGGGGTGACTGGGGGTGACTGGGGCGGGTGGGTGCTGACGTTTGTTTTGGGTGGGGGCTCGGGATGGGTTGGGGGTCGGCTGGCTCGCAGCCTGAGTTCCGGAAACAAGAGGTTTTTTGTTGAAGGTGGTAGACTTGTTGAAGTGGCAGGGTGTGACCTGGCAGGTTTCGGGTGCTGGTATAGTTGAGGGGAAAGTTTTGGACCTGAAAAGCCCTGCGTTTTACTATTTGACTAAGGATTGTTACACTACCATACCACGCCCAGGTCTGTCCCGAACTCTTTATCATGGTCTTCTCGGTCCGGCTCTCCCGACTAAACCGGGTGGGCCATTCCTTGAAGACCAAGGGTTGTTTGGAGTGTCCGTGTTGCCCTGGAAGCGGACGACGGCTTTGATGAACTCTGCCTCCCAGCCACCTCTCAACCTCACTCGGAACAGAGGTTGAAGGTGAAGGACCCTCTTGACTATACCATCAGTACCTCAGCTAGTAGGGTCCTATAAGGTCACTGAACCTCTCTGGGCCGACAGCATCAACCTTTTCTGGTCCCAGCTGCGATTCTCCTCAGATCGAAGAGCCTCCGATCGCCCGGCGCTCGCTGAAACCACCGCGGAGACCCGGATCTCTCCGGTCTCGACCGGGTCGGGTGGAGTTGGGTCGGGATAAAGGGACTGGTCCGTGGAGACCGGGTCGCCGGTGGTCCACCAAAAAGCGACCGCTCGGTGAGTCGCTCGGTGAGTCGCTCGGTGACCGAATCGGTTGAGCTTTTCAATGGGAATGGTCACCGGTCACCGATCACCAAGAATCGGTTGTTCGGTGGAAATCGAACTCCAAAGAGGCCACGAAGCCATTAGAAGCTGGTTGATGGCATGTTCAAAGGATGCTACTAGGGGCTCCTGGCCATACTACTAGGAACAAGAAGCTATTAGAAGCTGGTTGATGGATGTGGAAATGTCCATAGGGATCTCACAGTATAGGAAGGGACCAAGACCCCTTCAAGGAGGACCTTAGGCCCAATGACCATATTGGAAAGCTACAATCACTATTAAAGGAATGGTCTGACTCGAGTACCTGATTTGGGGGGAACTTCCTTTAGGAGGCAAAATAGAGTCTTCCGACTACAGTATTGTCTCGACCTGCTGTATAGCACTAGCAGCAGAAAGCACTTGCTTCATGTATCGGAAAGAAAGAAAGACCTGCTGTACAGTATACAGCACCCTCGTCTTCCAAGACCGTTGACAAAAATATCTGCACCTGGTGACCTGGAGTCTCAAATCCTTCGTGAAACAGCGGGAAAGACATCGGTCCACAAACCAAATCAGGAACCCACAGCCTTCGGGACTCGGGGACAGGTCAAAAAAAAAACAACCTGGTAGCTTCGCTGTTACTAGTAATGGCCTCCAACCTAATAGCGATGGCCTCCACCGTGCGTAGCTTCCTGTTAGTGTTTCTTATATGATCAAACTCCAAAATGAGGTCCGTTCCAAAGATGTAGGGGTCTCCACCACCCCGACAAGGCGCGGTTTGGAGCCCAAAATTCAGCTGCCCTAAGGATCCTAACGATCCTTGGACCCTCCTTAGAAGGGGTCGAGCCCTCTATAACAAGGGTTTGTACCCGAACCAAACCCTTGTTTTTGAGGGTGCGGATCCTTAGGGTGGGTGGTGTGGTTTGAGCCGAGGTCGCACCCTCTGTGGCCCTGCCTCCGTTGGTGGCTCGCACGCCTAGGTCATTGGGACGATCTGGGGCCCTCTCGCCGTTCGGACTCACAGCAAAAGAAGAAGAAACTACCAAGAAAAACCCAGAAACCAGGAGTCACCTTAGGGGGTGTTGGAGGATATAGGTGCCCAGCTATCCACTCACATTAAGAACTCAACACCACCCTGGCCCTCCATGTGACTTCTGGAACGGCATGGCCGAACCGGCCGACCGAGCTGCTCCGTTCACCGGAACGTACCGTGAAGGGCGGTCCGAACGGTTCGAAGCAGTTGCAGCGAACGTGGGGGTTGGTAGGAGATATAACCCGGTCCCAACAAGAAATGGTTCCGGTTCTTCCGGCTTGCTTGAGATCCTTTACAGAACCGTATGGGAATTAAATGACTTACATCCAGCTTTGTCCTTGAGAATCAGACAAATAAGAGCACCCTGAAGAACAGCTACCAGCATCTCCACTGCAACAGGTCTCCTCTAGAGGATTGGGAAGGGCCCTAACAGGTCTCAATTGGTGACGGAGGATATTGCTACAAGAAGTCACTAACTAGCACACAGGGATGCCGGGGTGAGAGTCGGAGCTGCTTTTCACATGCGGTTCACCTTTGAGCAGTGTTTCAGTGGTAAAGAAAACTGTGATCCTAAAGCCAATCTCCAGCACAAAAGGCTGAGGTTGGTCGCGACCGTTGAGGATGATTGAATGGAGCTTTTGGTCAGATGCTCAGCGATCTCCTTGGATGCTCATCCTCCAAGTGGTCAGTGCTCGTCAGATGTGTGAAAGTCCCCTCAACCCACCCTGCGGGCACCCGGACCGTGGAAGCGTGCTGGGGAGCTAAAGCCATGGCGTGTGCGCGTGCTTTGGCGCTTGAAAAGGGATCGGTTTCAAAATGAGGCTGGAAGGTCCCCTGGTGCCCCTCATCTCATGGGATGGAAAAAATGGGGTGCAAATGAAACCACCGGAACTCAATGGCGCTGGTCAAGGGTGTGAATTCAATAGGATTCTGGTTTCCTCACCTGGGCCCGCTTTTTTGCCCCAACGAGAGGCATGTTTTGTTTGGCCCGCTTCCCCGAAGCAATCGAGTTCTTGGCCGGTTTGGAGGCCTCCCACGTCGAAACAATGGCCATGATTTCAATGGCCCGATCTGCGGTGTGGAAACCATTGGCCCTCTGCAGCTGTTGGGGATTTGGGGCGCTCACACGTTTTCACGTGTTCATCATTGCTCGCCTAAGGTGAAACAAACAGCTCGGCTCGAGGCGGGCGATGTCTTTACTTGCGGCGAAGGCGAGCGAAGTCCCGCTTCAGCCCGGATCTGGGAATGGGTCGTTCAACCTGGAGCCCTGGTCCACCATAGAGCTTGACCTCCCAGGTAGGTCAAGACTTAAGACTTGTTTTGCGCAGTGGGAGTAGAACTTGTAACCTGGGGGGGCCATCTCTGTCTTTTGGCATGTCTCCATCCTGTGGAAGTCCAAGACTATGCTCAAAAAATGGGAACGAGCTGTTTTCCTCGTGTAAAATCCTTAGTAAAGCAGCTGGTGGTTCGGGATTCAAACCATTCAATCACTGGTGGGCGACCGGTGGTCGGGATGCTTTTTACTAAAAGGAACCGATTCCCTTCGTGCAGAATGTCCAGCGAAACCATGGTTTGGCGGAAGACGTGCCATGACTCACAGCCGTGCCATGTCTCCATCATACGATCTCATGCTCACATCGATCTCCCACGTCTGTCCTTGCATGGCCCCCTCCGTCGGATCCAAAGGTCAGTCACATCAGTCGGACGGACCCAGTCGGTCCCAGGGGGGGGTGACCGACAGGAGTAGCTGACCGGCACTGAGTGACCTCAGGTTTAGACGACCAAACCACCCGAAATCGGGTCTTAAAACAGGGGTCATGTCTGGATTCTAGGTAGTGGGCCGGCCAGGTGACCAGAATGACCAGCAGCTGCCATGAGATCCTCGTGACCGACTGGAAGAACCCTCCCAAAACCCCAAACAAACAATCCCAACCAGACGAATGTTGGGAAGAACTTGTCCCCATCATTTCAACAAAAAGGAAACCTCCAAACACATGGGACTGGGACAAAAGGCGGGGCACTGGTGGCCCCTCCCCGTTTGGGGCGGCTCCGCCAGTTCTCCCCGTTCTTCGTCCACCGCCCAGGTGGCCACCCCGTTTGCCTCGAAGAGCTGCGTGGTCTCTGGCGGCACCGGAGGCCTCGGACCCAAGTCACCTCTACCAGGACCCGACGACCTGCCAGGTCACCAGTCTGGTTCGACCGCTTCGACAGGGTCCAACAACCTTCAACTAACAGCCGTGCTGGTAAGGGGCTATGATATAATGATTAGACACCCCAAACGGGTGGGCCCAGGCCGGGTGCGCATGACTTCGTGAGGTGGCGCCTCAGCGTCCCAGTACTGCTTGCTTTTTTGTGAGGTTGGCACGTGGCGTCGGGTCCGGGTTAAGGAGCAGAGGTGGGATTTCCTGGTGTTTGATGAAGCGGGTGTAGCTACACACCTCAACTTCCGGGTATCAGATATCTTATATCAACAGTGTATATAATATTATCAGACCCTCCGTTGGGGTCCGCCTGGCTAGACCACCCTATACACCACGCAAGCGGGATTCCATTTAAAAAGGTCCTGGTACCCCCCGGGTGGCTGGGGTATCCTGGCTGGAAGTCCATAAGTAGTGGGCTGCGGCATCCAGCCAGGATCCTTTATCGAATTCCGTTCGACCTTTTTAAAGAAAGGTTGAAGTTGATTGTGATTTTTGTTCTAAAACTTCCTAGTCAAACAACTCTGGAACTACGGCATTGTCCAAGCATCCCAAGAAACTGGGGCATGGGCCGGGATGGCAGAAACTCCCAGTGAATGGAGTGCTTCTCAGACATGTTAAGCTCTGTGTGATCAGCTTCTAGAAAGATCAACCCAGGCCAGAGGATAGTGCGTTTTCAAAGTAAGTGGGTCGCCGGATGCTGAAGGAAAAGTAATAGTAAGTACTTTAAAGCACCCCACTGGATCGTACGGGCAAAACACTCGTCGAAACCAACCGTGACGTCGTCATGACCGGCCGAGTGACGTCGTCATGGCAAGTGACATCGTCCGTGACGTCGTCATGGCGGTTTTCTCTCCGGAACCCATTGGCCCTGTGCGAACACGTGAAAGTGCTTCTCAATGCCTCCTTTTCGAAAAAAATATAATTACTTTACTTCGAAATTCCCCACCCTCAAAGAATTGGTCTTCACAAGAGAAAAGCGGTTCGGCGCGAAAAGGATTCTTTATTGAAAACAAAACCACACATCGAGTACTTACTTGTGAGGTTTCTGAACTTCGATATTTTAATGCCTGGCAACCCCGCATCCCTGCCAAGTCAACTTGTGGTGGATATGCTGTGGAACTGGTACTTGGGAGCACTCTGGTGAATGTGCTGGTGTAAAGGCTACGCTGGGCTACTCGGGGCCACTCTGGTGGATGTGCTGTGTAAGGGCTAGTCTGGGCCACTGTGGGCCACTCTGGTGGATGTGCTGTGTTCTTTGGGTTGCTCTGAGCTACGCTGGGACCACTCTGGTGGATGTGCAGAAGTAGCGAGTCTACTGAAGTCCAAAGTTCTTAAAATCTAACAGCCCCACAGTCCTACGGGTGGGGAAAAAACTGCTTTGATAAGTACATTACAAGTCTACAACTATCCTGCGATCTCTTGGGTAAATGTGCTGTGGAGAAGCTAAGTTGCGCTACTAAAAACTGTGGTTGCTGTGGACAAGCTAAGTTGAACTACTTAGAAATCAGTTTGTGAATGTGCTGTGGAAGAGCTAGGCAGCTAGGTTTAGCTACTCAGGGATCAGTTTGGTGAATGTGGTGTGAATACTCAGAGGTCATTTTGGTGAATGTGCTGTGGAAATGCTACGTTGAATTACTCAGGGATTACTTTGGTGAACAGGGATCAGTTTGGCGAGCGTGCTGTGAAAGAGCCACTTTGGGCTACTCAGAGATCACCTTGGTGAACGCGCTGTGGAAAAGCTAGCTTGAATACTCAGGGATCACTCTGGGGAACGTGCTGTGGAAGAGCTACTTTGGGCTACTCCGGGATCTCTTTGGTGAACATGCTGTGGAAGTGCTGCGTTGAACTACTCAGGGATCACTTTGGTGAGTGTGCTATGGAAGAACTGCTTTGGGCTACTCAGGGATTACTTTGGCGAGTGTGGTGTGGAAGAGCTA